ATGGGATATCTTTCCATCTTTATGTCGTCATCGATTTTTTTCAATAATGTCTTATGGTTTTCACTGTATAGATCTTTCACCTCCTTGGTTAAGTTTATTCCTAGATATTTGATTCTTTTTGTTGCGATTGTGAATGGGATTATATTCTTCAGTTCTCTTTCTGTTAGTTCTTTATTCAAGTATAGAAATGCAACTGATTTTTGTTAAGTTGATTTTTGTACCCTGCAACTTTGCTGTAGTTTTTAGTTTTCCAATGGATTCTTTAGGGTTTTCTATATATAAAATCATGTTGCCTGCAAACAGCGAGAGTTTCACTTCTTCATTGCCTATTTGGATTCCTTTTATTCCTTTTTCTTGCCTAATTGTTCTGACCAAAACCTCCAGTACTGTGCTGAATAAGAGTGGCAGAGTGGGCACCTTTGTCTTGTTCCTGTTCTCAGAGGGATGGCTTTCAGTTTTTCCCCATTGAGTGTGATGTTCGTTGTGGGTTTGTCATACATGGCCTTTATTATGTTGAGGTACTTTCCTTCTATACATGTTTTGTTGAGAGTTTTTATTATAAATTGTTGTTCGATCTTGTGAAATACTTTCTTTGCATCTATTGAGATGATCATGTGGTTTTTATTCCTCGTTTTGTTAATGTGGTATATCACATTGATTGATTTGTGGATGTTGAGCCATCCCTGTATCTGGTATAAATCCCACTTGATCCCGGCATGTGATCTTTCTAATGTATTGCTGTCATCAGTTTGCCAATATTTTGTTGAGGATTTTTGCATCTATGTTCATCAGTGATACTGGCCTATAATTTTCCTTCTTTGTATTGTCCTTGTCTGGCTATGGTAGCAGGGTGATGTTGGCCTTGTAGAATGTGTTACAAAGTGTTCCATCTTCCTTATTTTTTGGAATAGTTTGAGAAGAATGGGTATTAAATCTTTGAATGTTTGATAAGATTCTCCAGAGAAGCCATCTGGTCCTGGACTTGTATTTTTGGGGAGGTTTTTGATTACCATTTCAATCTCTTTACTTGTGATTGGTCTATTCACATTCTCTGTTTCTTCTTGATTCAGTTTTGGGAGATTGTTTGAGTCTAGGAATTTATCCATTTCTTCTAGATTGTCCAATTTGTTGGCATATAGTTTTTCATAGTATTCTCTTATAATCCTTTGTATTTCTGTGGTATCTGTTGTAATTTCTCCTCTTTCATTTCTAATTTTATTTATTTGAGCCTTCTCTCTTTTTTTCTGAGTGAGTCTGGCTAAGGGTTTGTCAATTTTGTTTATCTTCTCAAAGAACCAGCTCATTGTTTCCTTGATCCTTTCTGTTGTTTTTTTGGTTTCAGTTTCATTTATTTCTGCTCTAACTTTTATTATTTCCCTCCTTCTTCTGACTTTGGGCTTTGTTTCTTCTTCTTTTTCTAATTGTGTTAGATGTAGTTTAAGATTGCTTATTTGGGATTTTTCTTGTTTGTTAACATGGGCCTGTATTGCTATGAATTTCCCTCTCAGGACTGCTTTTGCTGCATCCTGTATGAGTTGGTATGGTGTATTTTCATTTTCATTTGTTGTCAGATATTCTTTGATTTCTCCTTTAATTTCTTCATTGATCCATTGGTTGTTCAGTAGCATGTTGTTCAGTCTCCACATCTTTGTCCCTTTCCCAGTTTTTTTCTTGTAGTTGATTTCTGGTTTCATAGCATTATGGTCGGAAAAGATGCTTGTTATGATTTCTATCTTCTTAAATTTATAGAGGTTTGCCTTGTTTCCCTACATATGGTCTATCCTTGAGAATGTTCCATGAATGCTTGAGAAGAATGTATACTCTGCTGTGTTTGGATGGAGTGCTCTCTCTATGTCTGTTAAGTCCATCTTGTCTAGTTTTTCGTTTAAGTCCATTATTTCCTTGTTGACTTTCTGTCTGGATGATCTATTCATTGATGTAAGTGGGGTGTTAAGATCCCCTACTATTATTGTGTTGTTGTTGATATCTCCTTTTAGGTTTGTTAATAGTTGCTTTATGTACTTTGGTGCTCCTGTGTTGGGTGCATATATATTTATAATTGATATGTCTTCTTGGTGGAGTATCCCTTTTATCATTATATATTGCCCCTCTTTGTCTCTCATTACCTTTTTTATCTTGAAGTCTGCTTTGTCTGATGTAAGTGTGGCAACACCTGCTTTCTTTTGTTTGCCGTTAGCTTGGAGTATCATCTTCCATCCCTTCACTCTGAGCCTGTGTTTGTCTTTAGAGCTGAGATGTGTTTCCTGGAGGCAACATGTTGTTGGGTGTTGTTTTTTAATCCATCCTGCCACTCTGTGTCTTTTAATTGGAGAATTCAATCCATTTACATTTAGAGTGATTATTGATATATGAGGGCTAAATTTGTTATTTCATTGCTCATTTTCCAGTTCTTCTGCATTTCCTTTGTTTCTCATCCTGTGTGTTTCAGACTACCAGTTTAGTTTGGTAGTTCCGTATGATGGTTTTCTTAGTTCTCTCTTTATTTATCTTATGTGTCTCTGTACTCGTTATTTGTTTAATGGTTACCATCAGGTTTGTGTGAAAAAAACTCATAGATGAGATAGTCCATTTTCTGAAGGCCTCTTCTTTCCTTAGACTGAGTTGATTCCATCCCTTTCCTCTTCCTCTTCTAAGTAATTATTGTCACAACTTATTCTACCTTGTGTTGTGAGTTTGTGGTTAAAGTGATGAGGTTATATTTATTTTTGGTGTTTTCCTTCCCTTTATCTTTGATGTTATAATTAAGTGTTTACTAACCTGTTCTGATAAAGAGCTGCACTTTTTCTGATTTTGTCTACCTATTTTTCTCCTTGCTCAAGGCTTTGTAGCCCCTTTCTGGGTTTTTTTTTTTTTTTTCAGGCATGAGGGCCTTCTTGAGGATTTCTTGTAGTGGGGGTCTTGCGGCAATGAACTCCCTTAGCTTTTGTTTATCTGGGAAAGTTTTTATTTCTCCATCATATCTGAAGGATATTTTCACTAGATAGAGTATTCTTGGCTGAAAGTTTTTGTCTTTCAGAATTTTGAATATATCATTCCACTCTCTCCTAGCCTGAGAAATCCGCTAAAAGCCTGATAGGCTTTTGCTGCCCTTAATATTTTTTCTTTGTCATTGACTTTTGCCAGCTTTATTTACTACTATATGCCTTGGAGAGGGTCTTTTTGTGGTGATGTAGTTAGGTGATCTGTTGACTTCATTCATTTGTATTTCCACCTCCTTCCCCAGGTTTGGGAAGTTCTCAGCTATTATTTCTTTGAACAAGCTTTCTGCTCCTTTTTCCCTCTCTTCTCCCTCTGGAATACCTATAATCCTTATGTTGCATCTCCTAATTGAGTCAGATATTTCTCGGAGAATTTCTTCATTTCTTTTTAGTCTTAGTTCTCTCTCTTCCTCCATCTGGAACGTTTCTGCATTCCTGTCTTCTGTATTGCTAATTCTTTCCTCCATATTGTCAGCTCTGTTCTTTAAAGATTCCAGATTTTTCTTTATCTCCTCCATTGTGTTTTTCATCTCCAACATTTCTGATTGGTTTTTCTTTATAGTTTCAATCTCTTTTGTGAAGAAGGTCCTGATTTCATTGAACTGTCTATCTGTATTTTCTTGTAACTTGTTGAGCTTTTTTATGATAGCTATTTTGAATTCTCTGTCATTCAGACTATAAATTTCTGTGCCTTCAGGATTGATTGCTGGGTGCTTGTCATTTTCCTTCTGGTCTAGAGATTTAATATATTTTTGCATACTGTTTGACGGCGTGGATTTGTTTTTCCTCCTAATGAAAATATCTGGTCTCAGCTTCCACCTGCCACCACTGGGTGGGGGTCAAGAGCTGTGTTTCTGAGCCCGCCGCGATCTGCAGACGCTCTGGCTGATCGGGTCATATCTTTTGTCCATTTTTATTAGGTTGTCTTCTTGTTTTTTAGTAAGAGTCCTCTGTATATCCTAGATACAAGTTCTTTGCAGAATATACATTTTACAAATATTTTCTCTCAGTCTATATAGCTCGCCTTTGCTGTTTTTTAAGATTGCCTTTTGAACTATAAAACTTTTAAATTTTTGATTAAGTTCTGAAATTTTTAACGAAGTCTAGAGAATTAGAACTGGCAAAAATAAAATACTGAAAATTCTTACTTTGCCCTTATTACTCACTGGTTGCCACCACAAATCAAGTACTTATCATTATATTCCACTCTTTCTGTACAACTATCCTTGAATTGTAAATGGCTTCATGTTTTATTTCAACAGTCATGTTTTATACCAAGGCCTAGAGTTCTAAAGATGAGTAATGTATGTCGTCTTTCTTCAAAGTACTCATTTTTAGTATTTAATGTTTCTTCCTGTTGTCTGTCTTGGTTCCATATGCCCAGGTCCATATACTTTGCTTTGTGTGGTGCGTGCTGCAGCTGTAGAGGCAATGAAGTGCTCAGTATATTTTCATCTTGTATTGTGGTTATACTTTTTTCCACACACAAATGTTTAAGTTCATCATAGCAGAAAAATCTCTTGTTCTTTGTATCCTCCATACATCATAGCCTAGTTACTTGTACACTCACTAAATATTCAGTGATTGAATGGAATTATTGATGACTATGTTTGAGTAAGATTCTCCTGATTAATTTATTGGTAATAAAACCTTTGGCTATACTTTACTAAATGAATAAAAGATATTCTTATTTCAGAGGCCATCATTGCAATAGATTGTTTTTCTAGATAGAATGAAGATGTCTGATTTTTACTTGAATATTTTTGAGTGATCTTTTTTTACAACCCTGATTTAACATTATTATTATCATAAAAGTCTTTGTACGGTAGTATAGCATGGGATCTGTAGTCAGTTAAAAATTAAAATCTGTCACAAATTCTGCTCTATTTATCGAGTTATGTATTTTATAACTTTGGAATTTGTTTTAAAGTCTGTTGAAATGTAAAGACTAAATTTTAAGTGTATAGAAAAATATAGCAGTAACTTGCTTTCTTTATCTAGGTCCTGGGGACACCGACAAGGGAGCAAATTAGAGAAATGAACCCAAACTACACAGAATTCAAATTCCCGCAAATTAAGGCACATCCTTGGACTAAGGTGAGTCAAAAAGAGTTTTTTATAAAGCACATTAACCAGTAGTTAACTAAAACTCGTGTTTCTCATTGTTCTTAAACTAAACTATTTTGCGACCAGATAGCTGCCTGAGTACAAAGTACCCAGCAGTTCTGCATGTAAAAATAGTTGGGTAGTTGTACTTCAGTGTTCATTGACTATATATAGTTTTGTCCCCATTGATTTCCTGTGGATAATTTCTAGCCTGGCTTTTTATTTGTAGGGTGAGGACAGTGTACCTATATCATTAAAATACAGAATTTCATTAGGAATAGATAAGATCTTATATATAAATTTTGGCTACTTAAAAATCAGAAATTAATTGCTTTACATAGACGTGCTTATTATTCACGATCATAGTGCATATGAAAACATACATTTCATATATTTTCTTTATTTTTTCAAACTATTAATATATAGATCTTATTGTAGATGATATTGTGTGTTTTTCTTCTCTTGTTTACTTTCCTATTGGTGTTTTGGAAGCAGGAATAAAAAGCAGATTTGATCTTGCTAGGAGTATACGTTGAAAGCAATTGATATGTTAACAGGATGCCTAGAAAAACCTAACCGCAACATCTTAGAAGGAACCAATTCTAAGAACATAAGTGCTAATTTACCAGAAGACTGTTTTTTTTTTTTTTTCTTTGATACTAATTGAAATCATTTTAATAAAAAGTTCTTTCATCTCAGTTTGGTTTGTGAGATTAAGTGTTTAGAGGAAAAAAAACATCTAATAGGGTTTATAGCTAGAGTGAATCGCTAGTTTCCTCATTTTATAGGTTCAGAAACTCTGGCCAAAGATACCAAATGACTTATCCAAGATTACATAGGTGGCTGTAACAAAGCCAGGATTAAACTTCTGTGTGTGTGTGTGTGTGTGTGTATGTTTAATGCCAGATCTTTTAAACTGCTTGTTATGTGTCATGCATCCCCTCCCCCATTTACTTATATTTCATGATATATTTTTGTGGGTTAAAAATGTTCAACTTTTTGGTATGTATTTCAAGCGGAGACTTTCTGTATTTAAAAATGTACACATAACAGTTTGTTTTGAACATTGATAAGTTCATTTAATTGGTTATAGATCTTTTATAATAAGAGATGAAGTAATTTAGGGCTGTAGGTGAAATAGTTTACATTCCCAGATTTAAGGTATTTCTCCTCTAAATTGTATTATGATTCCAGTTACTTTCCTTCAGGTTTTCATAATCTTATTACCTCTCTTCACTTCAGAAAATCCTCTCGTTACTAATTATTTATTTATTATTTAGAATCAAAGACCGTAGTATTTTAGTGTCGGAGTTATATGTTGTAGATTTCACTGACCAACAAACCAAGATGTTGCCCCCTACTTTTTAAATTTATAATAAACACTAAGTAGCCTGAGATAAACCATTCTTTGATTTTTGTACTTAAGGTTTATTTTGAATCTGGGTCAGAAGATATTTACTCTCACCTAACTCTAACTCAGAATCCTAAGGTGGCCTATTTGGATTTAGAGTTTGAGTTGCAGTTTGAATCCAGTAAAGTTATTCCAAATTAAAGTGTTTATTATAAGTGATTTGTAGTGTACTATGATTTCAGTCATGTTAAAGAAAAACAAAAAAATAATTCTGTATCGAATAAATACAGGGAAATATTCCAAAATGCTAACAGTGGTTTGAGTGAGAAGAGTGTAGGTGATTTTCTTTGTTCTGCATTTCCATATTTTCTTTAATAAGCGTGTTATTTTTGTGAAGAAAGAAAAGTAAAGCTCTTTTTGGTGTAATCTAAGTGTTCATCACATATTACCCTTAATATAGAGTTTCTGAACAATATAGTGCTGAAATTGAGGTCATGAAATCTTAACAGATCCTGTTTTCATTTTTTTTTTCATCAAGTCTGCCACCAATATTAACGTGTGTCATATGCTGCATTTTTTCCCTGGTTAATCTCTCTTCAGTTCAAGTATTAGCCAGGATGGAATGTGAGGAATGATTGATTATAATTAAAATGAAGCCAACAGAAGATTTGCAATGAATTTGTATGCTTTACATCTTCCTTTGCTCTCGTGGATTCCTGTTGTTTCTGTATCTCACACTAATGTGTTTCAAACTTGAATAATCTATGTAAAGCCATTTTATTCGTTTTATTTAGCTTTCCAGGAGCTTTCCGTTCCTGTACCACGTGTAGAATAATGACTCACTTCTCCCACCTATTTTGTCTGTTCAAACTACTGTGAATTCTTCATTCGTATAGTGTGCCTTGACATAATGTGGTTTTCACTTGATACAAATGCATTTATTATGTATTTAACTCATGTTAATTTCTCATTAGTGCATACAGCTAGGTTAGTGTTATTGTGGTTGTAAACACAAAACCAAATTCAAGCACAGAAATTTCATGGCACTATACTGTCATCAAGATGACTAGATGATCCAAAATGTGTTTATATTGATTTTAAAAAATAGATTATTATCAAAATGAGAATACAAAATTTTAGATTTCTAGAGAAAATTTAGATTTCTAAATTTTAAATTTCTAAATTTAGATTTTACATTTTTTCAGTCCCCTCTCCCCTGCCTTATGATAGTGGACACCAACTTGAGAAATGCTCCCTTATGCTAGGCAGCCAGTGGAGTTGTTTTTAAAAAACACACATAATGTTGTTCTTGCCTTTGGAGGGCAGGTAAACAGGCATCTGGAAACAAAAGCTGCTTTGCCTTCATTGCTCTCTTCTGTTAGACCCACTTTAGCCCCTGATGCTGTAGGCATGTGAACCCTGGTTTTCCGTGCTGCAGTGTAGTACAGCTATACTGTACTACACTGCTATACTCGAGGAGCTGGTGTTCTCAAAAAGTAGGCAGACATAAACATTAAGGGAGAAAATATCTTCTGTGGAAACACTGAGGTGAAGGGATTCAGATGTGTAGGAAAGATGGCAAACAGAAGAACAAAATAATGAGACGATCCCAGTGTGGTATGTGGCAGGAATCTTGAGAATTTAGAAATGCAGTAAGTTGCCCTTGACTATTGCTTGATAGCCAGAGCAACGTAATTCATTTAAGTAGGAAGGGAAGTAGGTGCTGATGTTTTGAAATGGGGACCATTATTGGCAGTGGGGAGGGTAAGGAGCTCTGCATTGGTGTATGCTGTACACTTCAAAGAATAAAAGCCAGATGGGACGCAAAAGGAAATGATGCAAAAGTAGATTGAGAATTAGAGACGAAGATTGGTTGAAAGAAGAGAGGAAGCTTAAATTCTGCATTTAGTGCATGGAGGTATGGTTAAATGACAGTCTGTTGTATGAAGTGAAGTTCTGGTTTAAGCACTGCTCCTACTCTTTGTGCCTCAGGTTTTTTCTTTTGTAAGATAGCAATTAGTCGTCGTGTCTCTTCTCCAGATTCTTTTGAAAATATAGTTCAAATGTGCATATAAAGGATTATTTTATCTTAGTTCTGAATAAATGTAAAGAATTCTACCTCCAGTATAGTTCTTTGATTTGTCCTGTCTGTCTCCACTGCCCTGACTTTAGTTTGGGCCGTCATTATGTCATAGAATTGTTACAACAACCTTCCACCTTCTAACCGATTTCCCTCCTTCAGTTTTACATATCCTCATTGCTGTCAAAGTTAGCTTTCTTAAAGTTCATGTGATACTGTCACTCCTATTTAAAATTCTTCTCTGATTTCTCATTGCCTTTAGGAAAATTTGACATAATAAACACATAATGACAAAGGTGATCATATGTCCCAATTTATGCTTGTCCAATGTAATTATTAATTACATGCCCCTTCACTTTCAAAAGTGTTCCTGTTTGGATGACAGATTCTACAGTCACTCTGTTCCTAATTGTTTATACCTTTCCTTTCCAGAAAAACAAGAGATTTAGTTCTTGTCCTTCTCCTAGCCTTCCCTGAGGTATCTCATCAATTGTACTCAATCTCTTTCCCAAGTTCTCCAGCTCCTCCACCCTTAAATGAGTATAGTTAGGCAACAAATTTAAAAGCTTAGTGTGTAGTTAGGTAGATTAGGGATTTCTAGTAAGGTTATATCATAATAGATGTATGAGTTTTTTCCCCATTTTGAGTACCTGATTCTATTAACCTTTTATTTCAAGTTCCTTAAAACAAGTATTCTCCCTTTATCTTGCTAATAAATAATCCTAGGAGGTCAGTTAGGTAACACAGATGTTTGTGTATTCTTCCAGAGTCATGAAATTTATAAGTGATATATCTGGTTAGCAGAAGAATGTAGATTAGAATCCCAAAAGCCCTGATCTCTTTCAGTTGGACTAGGGCTGTTGAATATGTTAGCTACATATATGAGTGTTGTCATGCCTGTAGCTCACTTCAAAGGCAACGTGCAGTCATGCTGAATTTTTTGGGCTAACAAACTGTTCTCCTAATTGTTCCCTAGGGAAGCCACATTTGTTTTTACCTCTTGCCAGTGTCTTTTTTTCACACTTAGAATGTTCTTCTCTGCTTCCCAAGCCTTAACCTTTTCTCAAGACCTCAAATCTCACTTCTTCTATGAAATGTTTCCTAATTATCTGAGCTCTCCATGATTATTCCCACCTCGTAACTCCTTTAGTACCTACCAAGTCATACTTTACGTATTATAGCAGTACCTAATTTCTCTTTCATAATGGTAATAATGAAATGGATATCAGTTACCTCAAAATGTTTGTCGCTAAGTTTTTGGCATGCATGATAGTTTACTTAATTGTTAAGTGTCTGCAGGATATGTGGGACCATAGATCATTGGTTAAGTATCCCAGAAAGCCTTATCCACAAAAATCAATCCTTACATACTTGATTTCTTAGAACACTGTCCACATTCTTCAAAATAAATGAATACTAGTATTACCAACTAGCTAACAGTAAGCAGAAAACTGCGTTCTAGGATGGTGTTAGCTATCAAAGAAATCAAACTAAACTGAACAAGTTATTATGTTTGTCTATACTTAAAGCTAAACAAAAATACCCCCCATACTTACTTTT